ATAAAGCATTACAAGATCAACTACCAATTTAAAATTGTTGGAAATCATGACCAAGAAAAATCCACATCTTACTTAAATAACCAGGACATACTGTGCAAAATTTGTCACTGAAAGAATAGTTTTATTTTACAGAAACTATTTGGAATATTGGTCTCCAGCAGGGAGAACAAATCTCATACTGTTTTTAATAATGATTGCAAAAGTAGGGAGGCAATATATTGCTTTTAGACTTTGCAGAATCATTGACAGAGTCACTTTTAATGCCTGATGTAAGAATACATTTATTAATAATCAAAGAACTTCCTTTCATTCTGAGGAAACATCATTGGAAAACATCACTGGATTCCTCCTATTAAATATTCCAGAGCCACTCACCTGCTGACTTCATCACTCACACAGATTGCTTTCTTTCCTTATAATATACTCTGAAATGATATAACTGTGTATATCCTCTCAGTTGTATGTCATCGATATACCACTACATCAGCACATACATGTAAATACACAAAATAATGACTATACTCACTAGTATTAGTTTATTTGTACAAACAAAACAATGCTAACATGGTCTTGTCTGTGAAACAAAACTTTTTTTAATTTTTCTGTCTGATTTTTCATCACAATACTATATACTGGGGGGGGGGGGAGTGCTGGAGGGCAAACACTTTTCTACATTGGGGTGCTTTTTGTGGTCATAAAGTAATTTAAATTCATTTGGTTTTCATATATGTCCATGTGTGCTTGAGTATGGGTGTGTTCTTTTATGCATTTTTTTCATTTTCTATTAGTTGGCCGTGATGTTTATCAGTAATTCTGAAATCTAAAGTCAGCCTCTTGTGAATATTTGTATGTCAATCTTCAATCTTGTAACAACATACTATTTTTCTCAAAATTTCTGCTTCATTTGAGGCACTGGATGCAACCACCTCCTGGGAAATGCTTTCTGCCTTTTTTGAAGTACTGTGAAATGAATGCAAAATGAACTGAAGGTAAAGTGCAAAAGATGTTAAATCATGTAGAAAGAGTTCGTTGACCCAACAGCTTTGGAGCCTGACAATCAGTATATTCATGGGTGAGATATAAGTTCATACATGCTATGACCATACACTTGAGAAAGTGTTACCAGGAGAAACTGTGAACAACCCACCATAGGCTATATTCAAATCTATCCATAAGGACTTCAAATCCTTGGAAGAATGTTTACATTCTCCCAACAGAGAAGCTAGTTACACATGGTTTTCCAATAGACTGAGGTACTAGGCTATGCAATGAAAACAATATAAATGCCTCTGAAATTTAGACTTTCACTTTCTGGTCTTGAAAAGGCAGCATTAAATTTTGGATTTAGCATGTTTGACTGAGCCCCAAATAAAATTATTTAATGTCTTTTTATATAAAGCTAGAAACTTTAATTTTTGTCCTAGCTTCACTTACTTGTAGATTGTGGGTCATGTTCTTGTCATATATACAAACAGGGAAATGAATATCCAAGGGCAGAATTTGTCCATGTAATATCAAATTACAGTACACTGTTGGTAGAAGACTTTTATAGATTCTGACATGGAAAGATACATTAACATTTTGTGGGGAAAAAAAAAAAAAAGGAAAAAAAAAAAAAGAATCAGAATTGGCTCTTCTCCAGTTTGCACAAATGAGACTTCAGTACCAAATTTAGTAAGAATATACAAGTTTTAGAAGCCTGACTTTTCTGCAAAATATTTATTTTACAAGTCATTTCTTATTTGGAGTCAGTGTGAATTCTTTATATGATACAAGAATAATTATGTATGTTTGGTACAGAATTATGTTTGGTACAGAATTTGTGCTACACTGAAACAATGTGCCTGAAAATAGGCCAAAAATTCAATGTTAATAAGACATGAAGTTTTATTTAGAATTAGTGTTTTTTTCAAAGGTATATGTATACAAATGATACTATAAAACACATAAAATTCAGAACTAAATAAAATACAAATAAATAAAATACAGGGATTTGGTAAAGTGTTGTATTGCACTTTTAGTGCTCTTTTCCTAGTGCTTCAAGAAGGTTTGGGTTGGTTAGTCCCCACAAATGAAAATATCAGTCATCACCCTGCAACACCAAAGTTAGACAACATAATTTCAAATTTTTTATGCTTTGACTTTCTAAAAGAAACTGTCTACAATTTGCAATTATATTCCCCTCATGTTATTAACTTCACATGAAAATAGAATCTTCATAGAAAAAAAAAAAAAAAAAAAGCTTTTTAAAGCCTGTAATATGCGTAGACAGTAAGGGAAGCTTTAAAACAATGTTCATTTCAAGACCATTTTCAAATGTTTTACCATTCAGAAGATCTCTCTGCTCTTTTTGTGCTGTTGCTTCATATTATTGAAAAATACATCACCAAAATTCAAACTAAATCATCAAAGCAAAGTTGATTATTAATATAAAATCACCAGGACTAATTATCTCTCTCCAGCAGTATCTCAGAAAGACAATTATATTACATATACATCAAAACTAAGAAAGAACACACATTTCAGATATGGTAGGGAGGAAAGGATTAGTGCCAGTGTCCTTGGCTACTAGTTGGCTTAGAGGAGTTGCCAGGAGGCAGTCAAATGGGCAAGTGGATGCTGTGAAGCCCACCTAGTGCAGCTGCAGTTGCTACTCTCCTGCAGTGTGTGTGTGGCTGAGAAAGTGACCCATCTTTGCCTATGGGTGCAGAGGTAGATCCCACAGCCTTACTGGGGCTCACAGAGTCCAGGTAGGAGCAGCCACCCTACAGATGTGTCCCTGGGGGTACACATTAGGGAACAGAGATGTGGTTTGTGTTAACATGGAGCTTCATTTCCCTATGGAAAGCTGCTGCAAGAGAGTAGTAACAGGCAGGATGTTTCTGAAAAAAAGAAGAATATCTGATTCCAACCAGTTCATTAAGGGCTAATCATTTACTATGCGAAGTATCACAGAAAGCCAGCAGCCTCTGCAACTCCCAGACACAGAGAGGAAAAAGAAATCTGATTTAAGAAAAGAAATCTTTACAAAAAATGTAAAATGTTACTATTCTAAGCACACATTTTGACTGAGAAAAAAAGTCATATCCAGGACAGCATGTGTGCTTCAACCTAAATGTAAATATATACTTTAAATTTAGTGACACTGATGGGGCTTAAGCACTCAAAAGTAAAACCTGTTTATGGATTTTCCACTTAAAAATTTGAGGCAGGAAAAAGGTGGTAGCGGGAGAACACGCCTGGACCAGATGGAGCATCAAATATTCACACAAAGGGTGCTGTGGACATCCGTTTTGGAACAAAAAATTCAAAGTATCTGGGAAGTCACTGGATGTGACAGATGTTCAGTTGCCATAGAAAATCAAATCCTCTTTACAAAGGTGATTAAATATGTCTGTGGGTGGCTGGTTTTATTGAAAATGTCTGCCTTAAAATCAATGAAGCTTATTTTGCTATAATCTGTATTTGATGTAACCAGGTTATTCAGCTTTGTTTATCCAAAATGGTCTTCCAGTTTTCCTGGACATAACATGGCTTCCTAAAAACATCCAGTTCATCAAAGTCCCATCAAAATACTGAAAAAAGGTAACTAATATTGAATAGAGACCCAAACTTAAAAACTACTTGTAAAGGTTCTGATAGCATCTCTTTAAATATATTGTTATATGATGATATATTTTCCTGTCATGTTAGCAGGTTAATCAGGACCCTGATACATGCAGAAAGTTAGTTAGGTACTCAAGACAGTCTTTGGGAAAAAAAAAAAAAAAAAAAAAAAAAGTAACACCCTGGAATGTTGACTCAAGCATACAAGACATGATTTACTGGAATTACCAACCTCACAAACATTAGAAATATGATGCTTCTTTTGCCATGTTCTTCTACTCTTTAAAGGAAAATTAATGCCAAATTTTTATGTTTCAACAGAGATGCTATTATAGTTTGTTAACTGTATATATGTGCAAAGTACAGCTGTAATATGAATTCATATGAATATTGATATGGATTCATAAAGAAAGGTTGATTTTGTTTATCCTAAAGGAGCAATGTTATGATACATACACTTCCAATACATAGTTCTAACATTGTTCAGATCACATGCCTGCAATGTCAGGATAAAAATAATCCTCATCCCACTTTTGTATCACAAGGTTGTCATAAAGTCTGTAGATTTGGGACCTAAAGTATTGGCAAACTAAGCAGTAACAGTTTGCCATTTGTAAACAAAAGTTCTTAAACTGTAAGATGTGAAAATCCAGCAATATCTCTTGAGCCAGGAGAATAATTCATACTTTAATAGTTAAACGAACTAAATAAACTCAAACCAATTTATCCTCCATGGTGTAGACCACAGCATACAAACCACAAGGACTGGTGCAAGAACAGAGGGCACACAGCACTTCCTACAGGAAAGGTCTCCCTGGAATTGTTCCTGACTCTTGCAAGATGTTTCAGCAACACACATTTCAGTGACGGTGATAAATGTCTCTTTTTCATTCATAACCTACTCTTTGAGAACACTGTAGGATAAATTACTATGCATGTGTACCTTTTGCTTGAATTTCTGGAAAAATCATTTTTTCTCCTTATTGCTTACTGGTAAAATCTAGACATAATTTTCTTTTGTTAATCTCCCTCATATTCTCATCTGCTACCTCTAGTGCTGGGGAAATGAGCAACAGAAATGTCAGTAAATAGCCTGAGATCCTTTAGCAAAGTCTTGACGCTTCTAAGAAACTATTTTCTTGAAATCTCATTCTGATAATACTCAGTAAAGCTCATTACAAACCTCTCTGAATAAGGCTATCTAAAATTTCTTGCATTTTGTACTTCACAAAGAAAAATGTCTTACATCTAAGCAGCTTTCAAAGGGTTTCTGTTACCCAGAAGATCAAGTCACATTTTGAAAAAAAGTTGTGTTTTTAAATGCTTTTAGTCACGTCTGAAAGGAAGATTTAGGTTTCTAACTCACTTAGGCATTTTTTAAAAATATATCTGTCATCCATCTGAAACTAATTTACCCTATGCTCTCTAATTCTGTAGTCATTCATTCCAAGATGTCATCACTCTGTTGTTAGTTTTAAAATAGCTCCATGTGCAACTTTTCTGAGTGCTTTAAAAATTTATTTCCAGTTTTGAAATAAGTGATTTGTCAGTTCTTTGCAGTCTTCCCCTCTTCATGGATAAAACTTCAGTAAAAAGAATAGAAAACATTCAGATTTTTTGTTTGGTTGGTTGTTTTGTTTGACTTGGTGTGTTTTTTTTAGCAAATTTATTTACACCTTAAGAAATATTTCGTGTTGTGTAGATAGATGCCCCTATTTTCATGCCTAACAGTAATGCAGAAGCTACTATGGTTTGAGAAGCACCTTGCAGTTTTTCTTCAGGATTAGAGACAGGGATAAAGGGCCATGGAAGCTCTTCCTGTGTGATTCCCAAAACCAGTGCAAAGTCTAACAGTGCCAGAAGAAGCAGCAGCAGCATTAGTCCTCCCCTTGAGGGTGATATTCTTTGTGACAGCAGGCTGTGCAAAGCAGTTGGTGTAGCTCTTGGGTTCGGTTTGTCATCAGGGATTGGGAGACAAAAGCATGCTGCAGTCCATGTTCACAACCAGCATCATTTTTTGAAACATCTTGACACCTCATCAGAGGGAGGAAGAGAAAGATCAATTGCAGCCCAAGTGGTGCACTGGAGGTGCAGCAGTCATTCCTACCAGAGGCTTGGCTTGGTCTGTTCAAAGGCATTGGTGATGCTCTGAGTTCTGCTTTTCAACATCCAGCAATAGCACTTGGGCCCGATCCTGGTCTCAGCCAGAGCCTCTTCCCCTTTCCTGGACAAAAAGAGAGCTCTACCAGGTCTTTACCTTGATTTGCAAGTGAAAAATAATGGTTCAAATGAATCTCCCCACCTTATAGTTTACCACATACATCTAAACATCTTTGGGACTACCTTCCTCTTTCCCAACAGTAATACCATCAAGAGCCAGGCTTTTGCCCGCCCTCTAAAACAGCATGGGTTTAAACAGTACAACTTAGTTCCTAAAGACTTAGCAAGTGCAGAAATAAAAGAGCTGCTGCCTGAAGTTTACCTGAAATGTTTCTCCAGTAAATAGTAATTCTGTCATCAATCCTGTGACCATGAAGACCATTGTTATTCAAAACACTTTGAAACACAATGCAAAGCCCAGTAAGTAAATTGTGGAATTATCCTTGTATTGGAAAAGTTTTATTGTACTTCATCTGTGTAATCTTACAGAGGTCTCATCACACTTGCAACTCATTCTGACATTTCCCAATTAGGAGTACCAAGCCTAGCCTCAAGTACAAAGCTCTATTTCTTTTAAAGGAACAAAGAAAGTTCTCCATATATATCTCAGAGATACAATAAATCACTGTGACGCTGTGTTTTCACCCTTATCACCCAGTATACAGGCGCTTTTCTGCTTTCCATCTATATCTTATCTTAAAAAGCACCTGAGGATATGCTGAAGAGCTGCCAGTCCACCATAAGTATTTTCATGGTTTGTGGACTGAATGTGAAGTTTGGGGGGTGACAGAAGGAAACCATTTAAACACTAAATATTCAAATCTAAACAACAAACCCCTTCTGGCAAAGTACCTTTCTACAAGTACAATGCATGCAATTCCACCCCTATATTTTTTAGACAAATAACAATGGGTAAATTGGTCAAAATGATGATTTCCTATTATGCTTTGCTGTATGTTCCACTAATAACTTTTCAATTATCATGAAACTACTCTATAATTAGATTGCAAATATATAATAACTTTTACCATGAAAATTACCACATAATTATAATTTAATTATACTCCACACTCCACATTCCCACAGATACATAAACTGTTTTTGAAAATATTTCATAGAATTAAGTGATAATGCACATTTTGCTCAGGTCCCAAAGTAGGTAGTTTAGAAATTGATATTACAGACTGAGAGATAATGACATGGAATGAGAATTTCTTCAATATAAACACCTCACTCACCTCCAACAAGCATTTTCTCATCATTTGAAAGTCTATATGCTGTACAGATATTGCCACTGCCAGAGTCACAATGAAATAGAAAAACGAGGATAAAAAGATATGCTGAGGGCAGCACCATGCAGGTTGTGGTGTCCTCAGACCTTAATGATGTCTCACCCTGTCGGTGACAGAAGACCTTTCCTGCTGTGACGAATGGTATTTACAAACAGGAAATGAACTCGGCAGGGACTAACTTATCCCTTTACTTCAGAGAGCACCCTCTTATTTTTTCAGCTGTCAGTTTAGGAAGGAAGGATTGAGGGCCAAGGATGTGCCTGGAAGAAGATAGGATGCTGCCACCACGCCTGATGTATACTGCTGACTACCACTAACAGGTTGGATCTCTTCATCACTGTCCTGCTAGAGCTCAGGTGGCTCTCTTATGTCACTTTTCAGTGACTGCTCCAATTTACTCTTTTTCCCACTTTCTTCTTCTCTGAATCACTTTGTTTATTCTCACTTTAGTTTCTCTCAGCATCTTTGTGAAGCTTTCTTCTCTCATTTCTTTCTGTCTTTTCTTCTATATATGCACTTCCCTATCTGCCTTGCTTTTCTTCATTTCTTTTCATGCCTCTTTCTCGTGTCTCACAGCTGTTCTTCTTTGTCATCCTTTCCATTTTCCATTTTCTTTTTTTTTTTTTTTTTTTTTTTTTCCCTTACCTTTTAAGATATGGCACTTTGGATAGAAGAAAGATGCAAAAAAAAGCTGCCTTCTTAAATTGCAGTGATGATGCCATTAAGACCATGGAAGCCCATAATCCAGGAGTTGCTCTCTGTTCCAAATCTGTAGGCACTGAAAGCCAAAGGTCCAAACAAGTTTAAGAACTGCCTTCACACAGAAGTTAGACATGGCTAACTCCATCCCCAGAGATGTCTTTTTTTCTGAGAGTCACACCTGTGAAAGTGATTTTATGGTTGACATTAAAATAATTAATGAAACATTTGACACACTTTAACATTTGACAGTTTAAGTTAGCAACACAAAACTGTGCTAAAGAAATGGCATGCTGCTGTGCTAGAAATAATATGTTCTGTGATGGAGAGCACTCCATAGCGAGGTTACTTTTCATCCTTAGCTGTTGAAGTCATTGCTGCAACACAGTGACTATCCCTTCCAGATGCTGTCAGTAATATTCTAAATCACTTAGGATTTGTACTCAACCAGCCAAAGTTGTGTATGATCAAAGTATCATGCTGCAGACCAGAGACATGCATCTAAGCCCCTCTCCCAGTCTGTACCTACAGTAGCTCCCACCAGTGCACCCAGGAAGGGGCAGCAGGGGTGGTTGCACCCTAGGTTGACCAAGGTTTGCTAGCAGCACCAGATCCAGGATCAGACTGGTGTCCCAGCTGTCTCTGCCTGAGACCCAGGGGTCTCCAGCTTCCAAACTTGGCCACACCTACACAGAGGATGCTGCATACCTCTCCCAAATTCAGGATCACAGAGTTCATGTTCACCTGCTATTAGCTGAAAAACTTTCTGAGGACATCGACTGCAATTACATATGCATGAAAGTAAGGTCATAATAACATGCAGTGTACATTTAAGCATCTCTCAAACTCTTTGGCAACTGAAATAATTGTCCTTGCAGAGGACATCTAATAATCCCTGCAGGCCACAGCTGGAGAACTGCCAGGTTGCTGCACCAAGGACAGGGCGACTGTAGTTTGTTCAACAAACCTGAAAAAAAAAAGTCAAGGGAACCTTTGTTGTTGCAGAGAAAGTGCTTATTGTAATAATAATAGTTACAAAGGGGAGCCTGAATGCATTCTGAGAACACCTTCATGATAACATACAGGGGAAAAGAAAAAAAAAAAAGATCTTGTGAAAAAAAAAAAAAAAAGATGGAGAAACCTTAGAATGAAAATGTATAAGCTGGGGGTTTATGTAAATTGTTTGCTGTTTATTCTTTTATTCTTTTTTCTTTTTTTTTTTTTCTTTTGTCTGTTTGCTTGTTTGCTGAACATGCAATCAGCGCTTAAGATCCACCAATGACAATTTTCCCAAGCCATCTTATAACAAGATAATAAACAAACAGTAGATTTCTCTAATTATACTTTACACTTCAAAGCAATGTTAACATAATTCTGTTCATTCTGGAAATAAGCCTTTTTTTCCCCTACTATCTGAAGTATCAAAAAATAATAGATTAGTAGTGGACCATAGTAGCACTGAAGATCAATTATTCAGTCCAGAGGTCACTGGTTTATCTAAGCACTGGAAAACTAGGAATAGTTTATAATTTATTTTAGCAGTTAAAAAGGCAGCATTTTCCTAAATGTTCCACAGCTCTAATTAATCTTTGATAGTCTTCAAAAAATCATAGGAACATCTGTAAATGTTTCAGTGCTGCAAAAGCTAATATGCTCACTCAGATCATGAGATCTTTAAAACTCACTGCAAGATTAATATCATATTTTAACATAAGGTAGCTCTAGTAGAAGTGTTCCACCTCCCTTATGTGCCAAGCCTGGCAGCTGTGCCAGGCTTTGTGCCTTTTAAACCAGCTGTGTCTTCCCTGAATTGTCTTAATATAAGTTCTGTTTAAAGAGATATTAATCAGACAGGCTCGACTGCTGGGACTTAATGTTTTCACTACCTACTTTTTTATCTAGCCTTATAAACTTTATATTGAGATATAAATTAAGACTTCAAGTGCTCCTATTTGCTTCTCCGACTCCTTGCCTGAGGCTTCCTTTAATCTAAGCTGTCTGTTGAGCTATACAAATGATGCATGTGAGAATGCTATCAGCTTTGTTATGATGTTTATTTCTTCCTGTTAATGAAAAGATTTCCATTTTTTATGCAGATTTCTGGTGGTTTAAGAAAATGCCATGTATGTATTGCTTTAATGTTCACTATGATGGAAAGGTTTTTTATTAAAACAATATTTTTCTCTAGTTTCAAGATTGGCACTTGCATCCTCTAATTCTGACAGTTTACATTATTTCTCTGCATAATAGGATTGAAGCAGTGGAAGATTAACAGGAGGCAATCTAATTTAATGGTTGCAATTATAGTTGATGAAGGAATGTGTTAATCAGGAAAAATATAACTCTGATGACTTCCTCTTAAAAAAAAAAAAAAAAAAAAAAAGGAAAAGGAAAAGGAGAAATTTGAAAAATTTGTGCTGGGTGAGCTTGCCAGTCTCTACACCCACATTTATTCCAGAATCATATTTTAACATAGATATTCTGGTGCAAAAGCGTGTGCTAACATACATGGGCTGTGTCAGCCTGATGGCACAGCCAACACAAAACACTGAGGATTTACTCAAACTTCTTCACTAAGATCTAGTAACTGATGGAAGAATACTTTACTTACCAAATTATCTGCTTAGGAAGGCCTCACACTTGAGTAGTGGATATGATCTGTGGAAACACTTCTCCATCTCAACATCACTTGCCCCTTTGGTGTTTGTACATACATAGCAAGTTGAGAAAACTGTACAAGAATATTGTTGGCCATTATTTCCTAAACAGATAGAAAATGCAATCTGCCAAGTGCTTTAATACATAATGTAGCAGGTAGCTGCGTATGATGACCTCAGGGAACAGCCATCCCTCAGGTGCCTTAATGGACCAGTGCCCGGTGGACTAGCAGCTCCCAGCCTCATGTGAGACAGCAGCCTTCATCTTCCAGGGCTGTGGTTGTGAATATGAAGCGATCCTCAGCTGCAGAGCACAACATGCTTTCCCCACCCCCAGCAAAAATAAATCTTCATTGCATATTCAGATAAATCTACACAAAGTCAATCTAGCAAAATAATAATAATATTAATAATAATAAAAATCCATTTATTTCTCAAGGGAAATTTCAGTGAGTGACACAAGAGAAAGAGAAATGTGTACCATAAACAAAATGAAGACCACACATAAATATTTGCTCTAGAAATGCATATTTTTGATTATTGATTTTCTGACTATTAATACTTGTTTTCCATGTGCTATGTGTACCCTGCTACGCACTTTCAGTGAATTACAACTCCAGGGGATTCCTGCTGGCTAACAGTCTTCAACTCTTTCAAGCATGAAGAGCATCCCTTTCCAGCACCTCTCCAAGCTTCAGGAGCAAGACTGTATAGACTTTGGGTTCCCCAGTTGCCATCAGGTGGGCAAGAGGAAGGAGCAGGGACATGCAGAAAGCACAAAAGCATTGCTGCAGCATTTTCTCTCTCCCAGCTGACTGGCGACTAGCAAATGTGACGCCCATCTACAAGAAGGGCCGGAGGGCAGACCCGGGGAACTACAGGCCGGTCAGTTTGACCTCAGTACCAGGGAAGCTCATGGAGCAGATCCTCTTGGGAGTCATCATGCGGCACTTGAAGGGCAAGCAGGCGATCAGGCCCAGCCAGCATGGGTTTATGGAAGGCAGGTCCTGCTTGACGAACCTGATCTCCTTCTACGACAAAGTGACGCGCTGGGTGGATGAGGGAAAGGCTGTGGATGTGGTCTACCTTGACTTCAGCAAGGCTTTTGACACCGTCTCCCACAGCATTCTCCTCAAGAAACTGGCTGCTCTTGGCTTGGACTGGCGCACGCTTCGTTGGGTTAGAAACTGGCTGGATAGCCGGGCCCAAAGAGTTGTGGTAAATGGAGCCAAGTCCAGTTGGAGGCCAGTCACTAGTGGCGTCCCCCAGGGCTCGGTGCTGGGGCCGGTCCTCTTTAACATCTTCATCAATGATCTGGATGACGGCACTGAGTGCACCCTCAGTAAGTTTGCAGATGACACCAAGCTAGGTGCATGTGTCGATCTGCTCGAGGGTAGGAAGGCTCTGCAGGAGGATCTGGATGGGCTGCACCGATGGGCTGAGGTCAACTGCATGAAGTTCAACAAGGCCAAGTGCCGGGTCCTGCACCTGGGGCGCAATAACCCCAAGCAGAACTACAGGCTGGGAGATGAGTGGTTGGAGAGCTGCCAGGCAGAGAAGGACCTGGGAGTGATGGTGGACTAGTCGGCTGAATATGAGCCAGCAGTGTGCTCAGGTGGCCAAGAAGGCCAACGGCATCCTGGCTTGTATCAGAAACACTGTGACCAGCAGGGCTAGGGAGGTGATCGTCCCCCTGTACTCGGCTCTGGTGAGGCCGCACCTCGAGTACTGTGTTCAGTTTTGGGCCCCTCGCTACAAGAAGGACATCGAGGTGCTTGAGCGGGTCCAAAGAAGGGCGACGAAGCTGGTGAGGGGCCTGGAGAGCAAGTCCTATGAGGAGCGGCTGAAGGAGCTGGGCTTGTTCAGCCTAGAGAAGAGGAGGCTCAGGGGTGACCTTATTGCTCTGTATAAGTACATTAAAGGAGGCTGTAGAGAGGTGGGGGTTGGCCTGTTCTCCCATGTGCCTGGTGACAGGACGAGGGGGAATGGGCTAAAGTTACGCCAGGGGAGTTTTAGGTTAGATGTTAGGAAGAACTTCTTTACTGAAAGGGTTGTTAGGCACTGGAACGGGCTGCCCAGGGAGGTGGTGGAGTCACCATCCCTGGAAGTCTTCAAAAGACGTTTAGATGTAGAGCTTAGGGATATGGTTTAGTGGGGACTGTTAGTGTTAGGTTAGAGGTTGGACTCGATGATCTTGAGGTCTCTTCCAACCTAGAAATTCTGTGATTCTGTGTGATTCTAACAGCCACGTGGAGTAGTGAGTTCATAGGATTAATGGTAAGGGCTCCAGAAGAAGGAGAAAATCAGTCTAGAGAATTATTGTTATGAAAAAAAAAATTTCATCCCACCTTTTCTAGCACCTTAGCTTGGAACTAATACTGCCTCTCAGAGGCCTGAAGACCAGACTTCACTTTAACCTCAGCTTTTTGCCGGGACCGTATCTCTTTTTGCCCAAATCCAAGAAGCATCTCATTAAGAAGATATTATCTTTTGAAGGACATGGAAGTAATGAGATTAATGCTGCAAACACAGTGAATAACCACTAATTTTAGAAGTGCTGAGTATCCTCTGAGGCAGAACTTTGGCTGTTTATTATTTGCTCTGCTACAGAAATGTTTCTGTCAGCTGGAGAAACTGAACAAGGACTTGTGCTTCAAGTGACCAACCAGCTATTGCTAACAGACAAGATACAATGAAATGCTCACAGATTGAAGATTTTTATTCAGTGATTTAGTAATTATTTAGTGAATAGTTATGAATAGCAACTATCTTTATATGCTTCATGCTCAGTGCACAAACAAACAAGCTAAATACACTGGATAATATATTCATAACGAATGACTCCCACAACTCCTATGTTACCTATTTTTAAGCCTGATCATTTTACCATATCATAGAAGGGAAGTCCTTGAATATAAATGAGTAAGGCTTCAGCAGATGTGAGCCTGCATTAACAACAGTATCCATGTTTTTTTGTTTGTTTTGTTTTGTTTTTTTCTTTTTTTTTTTTTTTTTTTTCAATTTGCAGCACTTCAGTTCTCCCAAAAGAGAACAATAAGCCAGATCCAATTTTCTGAGCTCAAGCACTTTTGGAAACAACAAGTTATTTCTTTCAGCATATAGCTAGGTTCTTGACCTGGAAGAAAATAAATAAGAAATACATTCCAAATTTAGGCATAGAAATAAATAAAGTGGAATCTGAGGCAAAATTTCCTTCAGCCTTTGGGTTTTGAAACATGTAATCATTAGTCTTTTCACACACAAGCAACATGTACATATGATTTATTATCATTGGTGGGGAATTCATCATCCTCCTATCTGTCCTGGGGAATTCATCATCCTCCTATCTGTCCTCCTCCCTAGAGGTTCTCTAATTTTGAAATGTTCTCCTAATGCTCCCCTTTTTGTGCTTGGCTCACAGTCTTCAGTGTTCACATAACATTTTTTTCTGAGTTTAGGTCTTAATTGATAAAATTTGATAAAATTCACTCTTAGAGCAGTTCATGCCATGGATCCTTGGAGCCTGAAATATTTCTTGTACCTTTAGGACATCTCATTGAAAAGCAGACTTTGCAAATCCATTGTAATATAGTACCCATTTTCCCCTGTTCTCCAAGGAAGGTTGTTATTGTCCTTTCCAATTGGACTGGAAATTAAAGTTTGAATACTAATTTATTAGAGGTACTGATCCATATTCATCCAAGATACAGAATAAATAGCAAAATAATTCACTCAAAAATGATTTTTTTTTTTTTAATTTCAAACTCAGTTAGGAACCTGACATTTAAGAAAAGATGGGCTGTGCATAGCTCATTTTTTCATACATAGAATATTTTCTGCTTAAAAATTTACAAGACTAAGTCAAGAAACTGTTACCCCATGAGCAACTTTATGTTTGAGAATTCTTGATTTTTTTAATGAGTAAAAGAAGAAAAAATGATTTTTTTTTTTTTTTTTTTGGCGGGGGAAGGGGGAAAATACTGATTATTTGAATTAAAATGCACCTTTTGCACCTTTCAAATACACAAAGAAAAAAAAAGGCGGGGGGGATGTAACTTGTGAGTTGAAAGATAGTGGCACATCCTAATATGAATAATGACATGAAAAAGAAAGAAAAAAAAAAAGTAAAGAAATGGAAATGAAAGAAATGAACAGAAGATATAAATGTAAAGAGCCATTTGGAACTTTAAAATGAGCTCACTGGAAACAGAAATGGAAAAACCATTGGACTGGAACATTGAATGACAGGGATGGAGGAGGAAAGTGTGGAGGAAACCTTCCCTCAGTACGCACACAATTGAAGTGGTTTCAGAAACACTTAAGCAAGAGGATATTAGTTGGCTCAACTCAGGAATTATTTTGAGGTACTAAGGAGAACAGAAGAGATGACTATAAAATGGTTGAGCTTTGTGGATATTTAAAAGGTTTCCAGTACTGTAATACACGACAGGAAAATCTACTGCTATTATGCTAAACAGATTTACATCCACTCTCCACATAGTAAGAGGAAATTTTTCAACAGCTAATATGGATGGCAAGGGAAGGGACTTGGGGTGGGTACAAAAGCCTGTTCAAGAAAAATGACAGAATTGGGTATTTTACCAAGATGTTAGTTGTGCAATTAGAATTGAACAAAATCCAACACAGCTTTCCAAAATTACAAGTTTGAGGGACGGGTTAGACAAGGGGACAGAAATAAAACAAAAACAAACAAACAAAAAAGGTAGAAAAAGAATAAGACCATGTCCAAAAGAGCTTAAGAAAGATAAAAAATGCTTTTCTACCTCAGAATCTCTTAACATAGTTGCTTCTGCTTTCCAAGTCATCCCTGATGGAGCCTGGCTACAGACCCATCCATCTCTGTAAAAGCAGAAACTGAGTGGGACATTTCCCACCTGGCCTCCTCTCCATCCTCTCACACCTTGTTCTCTCCTCAGCATGGCTGGCCACAGCTCTGGTCCCTCTGGGACACCAGGCCTGATGGACCTAGCCCAGGGCCAGATGAGCTCCAGAAAACAAGAACAAGTGACAAGTAACTGGTTGAACCAAATCCAGTAGGTGTCAAGTTTTTTTCTGGAATTCTAGAGAGAGACATAACAAATAT